CCACGGCACAGCCGAGGGAACCGAGGTCCAGACTCAGAGGGCGGGCTTCTTACTTCGTAGGTGGATGAACCCGCCCTGCAGACGGCCGCGTGCGGAAGCCGGAGCCGGAGGGCAGCCGTGAGCTTCATCGTCCCGAGCCCCGCTTTGGGGTCTAGTCTCTCCAGTCCCCTCCCGCCACAGACAGAAACCAGTTTCAAAGAAGCCGCCACCCTGGTCACGTGTCCCATTCGGTCATGTGAGCGCTCGGACCAATCGCCAAGGCTAGGACTGGGAGGCCTTAGGATTGGCCCATCCCTGCCAGGGGGCGGGGCTTTGCTCCGAGGAGAGGGAAACCTAGTCAGCCCCTCCCTGCCCAGTGCTGTCATCCGCGTGAATCTCGCTCGCTCGCTCGCGAGACCCGAGGCCCGGCTGGTGACTCTAACCCCCACAATGCACCGGGCAGGGGTGGGGCAGCGCGTATTGGCGCCGCCTCGCGCGCCTCTTGCGTCATCTTTCTGAGTCGGCCTTGAATTAATGGCGCTTCTCCTCCTGAAACCCCTGTTCGGCTTCCCATTGCATGGAAAATTTGGACAAGTTTCATAACGTGAACGCAAGGGCCTCCCACCGCCGTCCTTTCCTGCCTCCAGGCCCCTGTCCCCGCGGCTTCTGCAGCCCTCGGTTCCTTCCTCACGTCTGTCGTGGGCTGGCTCGCCTTCCAAGCACTCGCTGGATTGCTCTTGTTGCAGCTATACTTGGGATATTTAAGCCGTGGTCCTTGGCTGGGCTTCCGGGGGCTGTGACCCTCTTCAAATTATATGCAGAATAGGGTGTGTAGGTGCAGCTGTGGGCTTGGGGTGGGAGGGGCTTTCGCTGAGAACCCCCACAGGTCTATCAGGGCCCCGCGAGGTCTGTGCTTTGAGCAGGGCGTGGCACAGGTGTTCGAAGACGTGCTTATTAGGCCGAGGAGAATATGCTAACGTTATTTCTCCCAATTACTCTGCACTCACCTCAGCGTGCTCCTGCAGGAATACTTGGTATTACCTGCACGCAACTTGACGGCACGCCTCCCTACGGGGGTCGTGCTTTTCGGTCCGGAATGCTCATTCATTCGTCCTTCCATCAAATATTGATTGAGCCTATGTGCTTGGGGTGAAGGAGTCGGGCACAGCGCCAGACACTGGAGACTAGTGAACCACACGAGCCCAGGCACTGTTCTTCGTTGCCAGACAGTGAAGGACTCAATCTGCCCAGAGAGGGACACCCCTTGCTCCCAGCTCCTGGCAGGTCTCCCCTGAACCCTGATAGGAGTGTCTGTGTACCTGGGGCCTTGGGCCATGTTGGAGAGTCAATGCCAACAGTGGGATTTACCCACTGGGTCTTGGGCTGCACAATATCCGCTCACCCTTTGGAGGGGCTGGACACTAAGGGCAGCCGTGTAAATGTGACCTCCAATAAAACTGCGGACACTAGGGCTTGGGTGTGCTTCCCTGGATGACAACACTCCACAGGGAGAGGACGACGGGAAGCTCTGAGACTGGTCTCAGTCACCATGACCCTGCCCCGTGCATCTTTTCTGGCTGCTGACTTTATCTGTATCCTTTCACTCTCCTACATCGTAGCCACATGTGCTTCCTAGGGAATTACTGAACCTGAGGGTGGCCTTGGGGGCATCCTGAAGTAGGCAGCCCCCTTCCCACTGACACCCCTAGAGCACCTGGAAAGCCTGCTTCTCTCCTCTGCCCATCACTCCAGTGTTTGGGCTTCACTGGTTTCATTCTATCAGCAGGCTTTTTGTTACGGTCTTGAAACTCATGAAGAATCAGTTCTGGAAGAAGCAACCTCTAGATTTCCTTGCAGGAACTTTCACTCTAGAATCATCTGGACTTTGACAACACGGAGAAAAAGCATTAAAACAACTCATTCAATAGTCATACTTGGTGTATTATTTGCTTTCAGCTCGACCAGCCAGTGATATGGCCGTGGGGTTCAGCCTGGATTTTGTGGGTCTGTGGCAAAGTCCACACGGTGCCCAACATGGGGGTTTGCAAGGCCCTGTTTCTGTTCAGGAGGTGGCCACCCTCTGGTGATAACGCTTGCTCTGGGTAACTTTGGATGGAAGAGCCCTTTTCAATAAGGTCTAAACACCCTCTAAACAAGTGTGTGATGAACAGGTGCCCCGGGCTCCCCTCACCTGTCTGGGGAACTTGGGGCTCCAGGAGACCCCTGAGGAAAGGGTCACTGGCCTGGTGCCCTGACCTTTACACCTAACTCGAGGCCAATTTCTACAAGACACATTTAGGAGACAGAAATGAAGATTCTAATGAAGCTACCACACCTGAGAGATCAGCCTTTTAAAAAAATACATATTTTTATTGATTTCAGAGAGGAGGAGGGAGAGATAGAAACATCAACGATGAGAATCACTGATTGCCTCCTGCATGCCACCCACTGGGGATTAAGCCTGAAATCTGGGCATGTGCCCTTGACCCGAATGGAACCTGGGACCCTTCAGTGTGCAGGCTTACACTCTATCGGCTGAGCCAAAGCAGCTAGGGTGAGACCAGACTTATTGATATCACAATTTAGTGTGAGGATCCACCATACTTTACCCGTTGTCCCCTCAAATCCGTATTCTATGCTTATTGTGCGTGCATGTGGGTCATGGTGTGTGTGTATGGGGGAGCAAAACTTCTGGTACACAGACCCATTTGATAAAAGCTATTCCTGCAGAAAAGATATAGACATAATTCCAGGAGGTCCATGGGGGCTCCCGGGTCTGGGGTAAAGCCCCTCACAGTCCATGTTGCTCTCCTTCCATCCCAACTGTGCTGAGTTACCCAAAGTGCCTGCTACTGGCTGCTTTTATTGCAGGAACTACTTTTATGGTAATTATAGATGGAAATTAAACTTATTGTAGTAATCACTTCAGGGTGTGTATGTTGAGTCACTACACTTACCAGCATGTCCAAGCCAACCGGACTATCCTAGATGCCTATGGAGTGGGAGCATGTCCCAGCTCTGTGGCTCACCCTACACTTCCTGGATGTGATCAAGAAAAGCTTTGGACAGAAAAGATGAATTAGTTTCTTTACTCCCCTCCCCATTCCCAGTCTATGGAATTTACATAATACTTTTGGAAAAAGCAGAAAAACATGAGACAGCACGCCAGAGTGGGGGGAACACTTGTCTCTTCACCCCTAGGAACTACTTTCTCTAAAAAAGTGTTCTTAGTGGATTTTAAATTTTGTGGTAGTGAAACCCATTCTGCCCCCGCCCCCATGAATCTTATATAAACCACACATCTATTAAACAAATAGGAGCTGAATTTTTGAAAAATTCATAGGTTCATTATTAGTAACAAAGTTAAATGAAAACAGAAGCTAATGAGTTGCTGGTCTCCAAAGTGTTGAAATGTGGTATATAACATGATTTTTTTAAAGTAAAATATTACAGAATGTAATTCACATAAAAACAGCTTCTTTAGTGTGGGTGCGGCCACTGGACTAAATGGTGTCTGAGGTTCTAGTTCTAGGTCAGAAGCCTTCCTGTGTTCATGGCCACCCCGACACTGCAGGTTTCTCTGGCGATCCTGGGGCCTCACATGTGTGTGGCCTTCCCCTAAAATGCTCTAGGTGTTTCCATAGTGTCTGCAGTGGTGAGGGGAGGAACCCAGGGCTACGCCACTTGGGTTGAAACCTGGCTGCATTCAGTACTTGTGTGACCTTGGGAAAGTGACTTAACCCTTGTGTGCCTCAGTTTCCTCACTTGTCCACGCGCTGTGATAATGAACCAACACAGGAAAATGAGGCACCTACAACAGCCTGTGGCACAAAGGTGGCGGTAAGGAACCCGTTATTGTCATTCCTGTTGAGTGTCAGACCAATCTTCATGGAAGCAGACACAAAGCCGGTTCAACTTCGCTTTTAGGCCTCTTGCTATCGTAAAGCAAGTGCAGCAAGAAGTTGGACTTAACCCGCAGCATGCCTCTATTCTAAGTTTTCTGGAGAATTCTTCTTGAGCTGAAGGAAGTTGCTAAACACCACGGCTTCCTCCAATTCCAAGATGGGAGACGAGGAGGCTGCACCTGAGGAAACAGCGTTTGGGAGCTGCAGCAGACCGCTCCCGGGTGGAAGCGGGGACTGTGCGGCTCCCAAACTTCCCCACAGGGTTACCAGACGCTCAGGCCACAGACACTCGGGGCGGTCCCGGTCCCTTTCCTGCACCCCAGCTCCCAGCGTGACCGCTTCCCCTGTGAGGAGGAGTCACAGGCACAACTCACCTGCTGGAATGTCGATCAGGCGCGACTGTGGAGGTGATGAAACCTCCTCCATCCCAGGTCTCCTCTCACAGCCTCTCAGTAACAGCCTCGGTGAGGACAATGAGCTCCACCACACAGGAGGGGGGTCACCTAAGACCCCACATTCCTATTCTCAGTGAGTCTACTCCTATTTCCAAGATGTTTCAAGAATCATTCTAAACATGATCGGGGCTCGAATAATCCATTTCCACAAACTGTGTCCCAATTCACATTTGGCTCAAAGAGAGGTGGTTGGTATGAAAACACCTCTACTTTTGCCCGTAGAGAAATTAAAATGAGTTTACAGAACGCTGGGGCAGGACCCGCCATCATGGGCCGCACAGCAGGCACTGGCCTGGAGCCGTGCCAGCGCCGCCTGCCCACCTTCCAGCCAGTGTCCTGGGCTAGGCCGCCCGACCCTGGCAGTGACTTGATTAATGGTCAGAAGCAGCTGGCCCAACACCATGGCTACATTTAGTTTCATGATGAGCATTAAAATTCACATGTTCTTTATTTAGTCCATATAATACACCATTTTTAGAGTTTTTAAAAATTAGATAAAAGAGCATATTAAATGGCAAGTGTATGAAGTTTCTCTTCATAAACAATGTCAAAACAAAAAGTTTTGAGTTACAAAATGTTTAAAAATATGTAGGTACTTAACATTTCACTAAAGCATAATGTTACAGATATTTTCTAAAGAAAAATAATTGTGCCACTTACCTATTTTTGCTGTTTCTATGAACTTTTTTATTCTGTACATAGGACATTTTGTACAAAATATGAAGTCTACATTTTTATTATTACCATAAAACAAAGATACAATGTATGTACAATATTAAAAGGAAGCCATACTACAGCCACACTAAAAAGACACTCGGAACAGTGACATTTCTGATGTATAGGGACATTTGGGAAAGAGTGAAGATGCCAAACGCAGAACTTTATGAAGAAAAACAGTCACCAGTTTATTTTCAATGTAGTACTTTTGAAATCAGTTGGTACAGAATAAACAATGTATCTATATAATAATATATAAGTTGAACAATTAGCACAGGGCATCTGAATACTAACTAGGAAAACTTTAATAGGCCAAAATATTAAATAATACTCTTGTCAAAGAAAATTAGTTTCTCTCAAAACGCTTTTTCCCTTTTTTTGGTGAATGTTTGTCTTCAATAAAGAGCAGAAATAAAACCTAGACAAAAGATGTTCTTATACTTTGAGCTTTACACAATCACCCAAACATTGAAATGTTGCTATTTTTTAGGGCATAAGAGTCTTCCAGAAAGCTCTCTCACAAACATACTGAACATCCAAAATCAAGGCTATCTGAGCATCTGTCAGCCAAAGACGGAAGTTCAAACAATGGTATATCAAAATACATAAGATGCTGCTTTATACAATAAAAAGCACCCTTTTTCCCTCAAAAGGAGAAGGCATCTAAACTTTTTTTGTAATCGCAAATTTCATAATGGTAAAATGGATCAATACTTGTCAAGTTTCTCAGGAAGTGTGTCTGCTCACGCAGCGGGCTTTCCACTGGCGGCTGGGCACTCTGAATCCAGCACGCGTGCTCCACACAGGAAGTCCCCTCCCCCCAAATGAGTCTCCTCCAACACATGGGACATACATAGTCTGTGGATTTAAGTGGCAGGGAACGACAGTCTGCTTTTACAATGAGTGGATACCAAGACCTCGAATAGAAGACAAATCCTAAAAGAAGCCACGTTGCATCTTTTATGCATAAAGACATTTAACATTAAGTTATATAATCTTATGCTGGAGACAAAAACACCCTAGAATCACTTGTTTAGGAGAGCAGTACACATCTCAAATAGCTTTCAAGCAGATAAATAAGTCAAGATACTGGCCACCCTGAGAGAAATAAAACATACAAAGCACTAAGTTTAAAGAATTTTCCTCGTGCTATTCCATCGAAAACGAGAAGCTCAACACATGCAAGGAAGTCTGGGAAATATATAGCAGCATTTGATGAAAACTCAGACACGGTACTTTCCTTAGAAGTGCATATAAGGTGTGCTCGTTTCCACACAGGGGTTCACCTGAAGCCATCCGCCTGTTCCTCCCTCGGCTCTCAGCACCACGTCACACAATAATGAGTGTCACGCTAGCGCCCGGCGTGCACGGTGTGGCTACGTTTGCCCAAAGGCAGCTGCTGGCCAAGAACTGGCTTAACGCAGAATGTTCTCATCCTAGCCTTCTATCAGGTGTGGAATTCTTAGAGACTCTAATTTTATTAATTCAAGAGCCTTGCTAAAGGGCAACACGTGTAAGTACAGAAAAAGAAAATCTGCAAACCCCAAAATGAACACATCGTTTTAAAAATTCCAATCCTAGCCACGGGAGGCAGAAAGAGCTCTTTGTAAAATAAATTTCTCCTATGAGCTTACTCCTGGAGTCCTGGTGCCGGACCACCAACGGGCAAATATGGCTTTAGAAATACACGAAAGAAGTCAGACATGATGTACATGTCGCTGCTCAAAGTGAAGGACACCTCAGGAAGAAACAGCGGCTGAGGATTGTCACTTTTCCTGTGTTAGAACAATGACAGCAAAAAATCATTTTAATGAAATTGAAAAAAAAAACACATCAAAAACAGAAAGACATTGCTGGTGTAAACAATCACATGGAAACAACTTCAAAGGTTGTTAAGTCTTAAAAATATGAAATTTTTTTAAGTGTTTCTTTGATTCGAAAAACATTGATACTCTTAGAACTATTTATTTTAAACAATCACCAATTCCATTTGGGTAGAAGGTGAAGGTGATGACCAGGGTGCTGATTTTGGTTCGCTGTCATATTTGGGACCGTGGCGGGGACACCGTGGCCGGCTCTGCCTGGGTCTGAGTCACCATTGTTTGAACTCCTAATCTCGAGCTGGGGACGGAGTGCATTACTGCCTACAGGATGGGGGCGAAGAAAGCTCTGACTCTGAGTGTAACTGATTTGTATGGCACAAAAGTATGTGTTTTCTACAGAATCCAGGACCGAGCCGGCAGGAGGGCAGCTAGCGGCCGTCCTGGGACAGCAGCTCGTCGGCTCTGCAGTGAGCCTCCAAGGCGTTCTTGGTGTGGAGGTCCTGAGGCAGCTCGGACTTGCGGCGCACCAGAGCCCGGTCCTTCTTCAGGTCCTTCTGTGCCTGGAATTACAAACGCAGGGCGTTGACTATTAACCACACTGTCCCCACAGCGAGCGCACATCCGCTTCAGCAGCCAAGGACAGCTGTGCGGCGGTGGCAGCCCACACCCAGGGCCCCTCTGCACTCTAAGGGACAGGCAAAGAGGCAAGTATTTCCTCTTGGGGCAACTACCCCCAAATGCCACGTCTATTAAAAACAATCTCATGACCAGTGTGAAGGACGGTGTGCACACAATTGTGTTCTGTCTTTGAAAATGTATAGGTTTGCACAGATTACTCAATACCTCTATTTTGCAAATCCACCAGTTTTGGTCAAAAGCCCAGGGCCACTGCGTTGACAGCAGTATTTTGGAAATATGACAACAAACCATCTCACTTATCCAAACACCATGTACGTATATACAGAGGACTGTCGGTCAGAAACTTGAACCTGAACCAAGCCTTCTTCCTATCAAGTGTCTCCATCAAAGAGAAGACGGTATTTACAGAGGATAAGTCACTTGGTGGTGAACAGGCGTCTACCAGAGGAAATACGTTTTATGTCAGTAATTTGACAACAAAAAGAATATAACGGTAAAACTTCTCAGTTTCTAGATACCTTACAGTATAGCCTGTAAAGTATACTTAACTTCAATGAAAAATTCAAGGACCTGCAGAAGTCATACATGAAATGTTCACATTTTTTGCAGAGCTAATACGTCTCAGAGCTCTTTGCAAATTTATCTACGGAAACAGCAATACTGTTAGAGTTTAGAAAGAATTTTGTGTGACATCATTTTAGATTATTTCTAAAATGTCATCTGAATATTAATATTCATTCATGGTAAAGGAAGGAGTTTTGGTTTCCCCTGGAAACTGGTGTAAGATGGCTCAGGAAAGCCACACACATCAGAGACAGAGGGGCACCAGTCTGTCGCGGTCACAGTACTTGTAAGAGTGCTTTTGTTTGTGAAGCGGATTTGCCTTCGACCTGTGGGAAACTCAGAGGGAAACTACCCTGAGTTTTATGTACATTCCAGGGTGAGCTGTAAAAGAATGCAAGGCAAAGCCAAACAAAACCAAGACTTTATATACTTGAAGTATTCCTGATTGCTGAGACAGGCATTCCAGAGAGAAAAAGGCAACAGCAAAAACCGTGGCACTGGAACAGCAGGTGCAAACTGGGAACACAGACCCTGGGCTTCTGAAAGGCAAGGGCAGAGGTGTGCTGGCGCAGCGGGCCGCTCCGCGCAGGCTTGGTAAATTGATGTGTAAAGCAGAGACTAACTTCACAAACCCCCCGGGGAAAAGGTCAGAGGAACAGGAGCAGGAGAGCATGAGGCACCATGCAGATGGTCACCTAGGTGAGTAATGCTTGGTGAAGGGGACATGCTGGCGGACATGCTGATTGTGGATGGAACATACAAGACACACGGAACAGACAGACAGTTGGAGAGGCATGACCGTGACATCCTGCTATGGGTGCAGCTGGAGGAAACGGCCTGTTCCGCAGCATATGGCAGAGCTGAGAGACTGCATTTACATAGTGAGTGGTCACAGAGCACCAGGGGCTGGGCACACATAACTGCATGGTTTTACTCAAATTAGGGCAGAACTAATAAAAATGTCTTAAGGGAGCACATTTCTTGGAATGACAGGGAAAATACTTCATGTACACATTAGCTTGTCACTCCTTTTCCTCAACAGAAAGGCCTTAATACTCTATAGATTGAGTAAAGAGTACCTGCACTTCCCACCTTCCGTCTTTCTACACCTTCCTGAATTGCATGGCTGGCACTGCTTTTCTCCCGACCGACTGTTAAAATGAGAATTGTAAACATTTTAAATGTCTCTGGTAGAAATGTCATTCACATGAAATTTACTAGTTTTCTTAGGATGCTCTATATAGAATTATACAAGTTTCTCAAAAGAAATGCGAATATAGTCTGACAGGTAAGTATACAGTTGACTTCCTCCACCATATTCCAACCAGCTACCTTCCATTGCCTTAGAACCTCCTCCCCTCCCCTCCTGCAATGCTGTCATTTGCCTCACGTGTCACGCCGAGCCAGCACTTGAGTCATTTTTAGCTAAAGCTTCTTATGTCAATTTGGTATCCAAATCACCCACATACATTTTTTCCTTGAATCTCGGTATCTCCTCTTTGCTTTAACAACAGTGTTTTTGAGAATTTCAGGAATATGACTGTAAACATTTTCAAATTAAGAATAGTCTATCATATCAAATATTATACCTAAGAGACTGCACTAAAAATATCTTCATCTAGATAGAGATTGGGAGGGGGTTTCAATTGATCCATACAAATCTGTAAGTCTTGAATTGGGGAGTGGTAATCTTCCAACCTTATTCTTTTATTGGCATTAATTTGGCTATTCTAGGTCCTCTGTATGACCATGTAAATTTTAGAATCAGCTCATCAATTTCTAAAAAAAAAAGTCTACTGGGATTCTGACTGAGATTGTGTTAATTTGGGGAGAACTGGCATCTTAATGGTATTGAGTCTTTCAACCTGATCCATAGAAACCTAAAGGTAAGGGTGGGGGAATAATTTTTGTAAGAATGTCCATCACACAAAACACCGAGTCATGTAATCTAATTTCAAGGGTCATGAAAACAAACATGTTACAGAGGAGGCCCTAAATCATAAAGAAGCCCATAACTTACACAATTATGTATTATGTTCATTACATTTTGGGCACTGTTTGCTCTTTTCCTAGCTTTAATTATCAAGTCAGAGAATGTACTGAAGAGAACAAGTCTCCAACCCTAAAATATTTAATGTGGAAGAACTGGCTTGTAAACCATCAGTTTCCTTCTCAACTTTATATGGACTCACAAATGAACATGTGGTTACAAGTTCACAGGCAGGCTCCCTGGGGGAGGGCACTGGCTTGATTTCCTCTGGATGTGTGCAGGTGACAGGCTGGCTGTCCTGTCCTTAGCACACGTTAAGCCGTAGAACCAAAATAGTAATAAAAAAGAGGACCTCAAATTCCAAGTTAAAAAAAAAAATCAAGTAGGAAAATTAATACTCCCACAAATAGAGAAAAATATAAGAATTTTATCCTTTTTATTAAATCTATTTCATTGGTAAAAATATTAATTGTGAGGAAATTATGGTATGCGATTATATTAAGTAAAAAATGTTACTAGGGGTTTAGTGAATTTTACCACTGTACTTTTAGTATTTCCAAGATTTGATGAGCTGAAAGAAGCATGAATTCACCTGCTTTTTATTTTAACCTATAGCCAGGAGCTGGCTGGCAGAAGCGGCGTGACCGTGGTCAGCACGGGCACCTCCTTCTGCAGCACCAAGAAAAGGAGTCCAGACCAGGGCTGCCCAATGGAAAGGTAATGCCACCTACGTATGTAATTCTAAATTTTCTAGTAGCCACGTCAAAAAAGTAAAAAGCAATAGCAATAGGAGAAAGTAATTTTAATGTTTTATTTAACCCAGTATATTAAAAATATTATAATTTCAACAAATAATCAATAATAAAAAAATGAGGAATGGAATGTTTTTACATTCTTCCCCTCACAGGAATGCCTGAGTTTGAGTGACGGCACACGCGGTGCTGACGGCCACACTTCAGTGTGCAGCCACGTGGCTGGGGGTAGGACAGCACAGTCAGATGGTTTGGACCGTATGCTCTGGGAAATGTCTGATCCTATCTGACCAGGTGGGGAATACAATTTACTTGAATTAAAATCAAACAGATTAACACGCCCCTCTCTGTTTAACTGCGTTCGGAATGACTCTAGCACTTACGAGCCATTTGCACACAGTGCACAGTGTCACTCCAGCCACTCAATTTTCACCGTCAGAATCCCAGTGCTGGTGTCTTTGCAAACTCTTTTGCTGGTCGGAGGGGATTAAAGTTCAAAGTCAGAGCCAGCCCAGATCCCCAGCCCGGCCAGGACCACATCAGCTTCCATGGACAGAGAGGCACAGCACCGCGAGGCTGTGCGCACACAGGCGGAGCTGGTGCGTGACCTCAGTGGCCCACGCTGTATATATTTCCTCTTCAGTATTAAGAGTGTATTTGGACCAGTGGGGTCTAAATAGGTATTCCCACCACAGTGGAAACAAAACCACTCGAACGAGGTAGTACGTGCGGTGGTTCTGACAGAGTCCGCAGCCCTGGGAACCCCAACAGGGCCTGGGCCCTGCACAGGTCTCACAGACCGAGGTTCTTCGAGGGGAGGGAGACAAGGCTCCACCCTGGTGTCTGGGCTGCTGAGCTTGGCCGTAACTACGACTAATGGGGACCAAGAGAAGTTGGAGGGAGGCAGAGGGAAAAGCGGCAAGACATTACTGCGAAGCTTTTGACTTTTTTGCTCAAGTTAACATTGAAAGACATTTAAGGGTGGGGATTACTGTTAAGATAAATGAATAGACAAACTGCAGGCACATACTTCACTCTTAAAAACTGTTTCTAGTAAACTGATCACTGAGATGTACAGATAAATGCTTCCTGTAAGTTTACCAAAGTTTAATTTTTAACTCTGGCTCGCAAAGACTGCTGGACAGCACCTCACCTACACAATCATGTGCATTTCAAAGCAAATCTACAGCGAGCGCCTCTCCGCTGAGCTCTGCGCACTTTTACCTGGCGAGCCTCTTCGTTCACTGTCTTTCTCAGCATCTGCACATCTTCAAATAAGGGCCCATCTGTCTCCATTGCAACCGGGATGCTCATGGTGCTCGCTTGACTATGTACTGTATACTGCAATGCAAAGTGTGGAATCACTCTCTGTTAGCGCCTGGGGTCCGACGCCAGGGTCTCCTCCTGGCTGGGCACAACTTCCCACCAATGCTCCCCAGGGCCCTCTGCGGCCTCCACCTGCCGCTGACCACCTGGAGTGCCTACAGTTCTGGTGACACGCAGGTGAAGGGCAGAGCTGGTGTCAGTGGTCACTCCACCATCCCGGCCCCTGGGGCCGGGGGCTGGTGGGGACACCTGCCTCACAGCCTTTGGTGTCCTGATCCCACAAAAGCAGTGAGGGCACAACCTGGATTGGTCACCAGGTTGTTTCACACTGAAACTGCCACCTCTAACCTCCCAACCTTTGCACACCACCTGCTGAGCGGTGATGTGCACCCTTTCCTCTCCCATCCTCCTTTCTGGATCTTTTACTCCATTTTCCTAACTTGCTTCAGCCCCACCATGGACCACATCCTTTGTCCACACCCAGAATGCACAGCTGCTGCCCCGAGCTGGCACTGGAGGGAAGCACCAGTGCACCCCCAAGTCCAGGACCTCCTGTCCACCGGGCCCAGCGGCTCCCCTGTCACCTCCCCACTGGCCCTGGGCTTGGTATGAATTGCAGACGGGTCTTTCAGACTGTTTATCTGAGTGTAACACGGGGCTAAGATCAGAGGGTTGTTACTGAGCCAAGAGACTTGAAACAGCCAGATTACCATGAGCATCTAGTGTCCACTTTCTCTGTGAGGGTGAGGACAAGGGGAAGAAACCCAGGAGTCTGCTGAGTGGTGCTATTCCAGGGGCTTCCATGTCTTGTGACAGACCCATAAAGTGTGTGCCATGGCCCATCTGATGAGGACTGGGGCTCTGAGTGGGCAGTGAGGGGCAGCTGTTGCCCTTCCATCACACACCCTCCAACGCTTTGCCCGGGGAGGGGGGGTGGCCTCTAACCTCCTCCCTCCCACCTCAGTGAACTTCCAGGAATGACGTTCGGTGCCCGCCCCCTTTTTTTCTCCCCGCCCAGTTCACCGCCTGCTTTGAGCCCTCAGCTCTGATATGGGACCTTAGTCACCAGGCTGTCAGTGGTGCCATCTCTTGGTTGCTAAGCCACTTTTTGTTTCTATCCTCCTGGACCTGACCACCACCATCCCTGAGGCTTCCCCTCCTGCTGTCTCTGGATGACAGTGCTTGCCTGCCTCACGCGTCCTGTGGGATCTCGACCCCACCTTGTTCACCGTGCCTTCCTTGTCCCCCTGGACCCTGTCCTTGTAATGGCCGCTCACTCACTCACTCACTCGGGCCACATCCTCGCTGTTTCTTCAACACCAGTGGGTTCCCGGGTCCCCTCGGTGCCCAGCGGAGCCCCTCCTAAGTGCCCAACCCTCCAGGCCCCTCCACTGTCACCAGACGAGTTTCTGAACTGCAAGTCTGACTGGGCCACCTTGCTCTTTGTGACACTAACACCTGCACACATTTTTGGGAACAAAGCCCACACTTCTGTTCCGTCTCCAGCTTTGGCCCTGGAATGGAGCAGTCAGCGCCTCCTCCATCGCCCAGAGGCCACCTGTGTTGAACAGATTGGCTTCCCTGCTGTCCTCTCTCTGACCTGAGTGTTTTCCCCGGATTCAGAATGGTTAAGCCCAGGACTATGGCCTCCCACACCTGCATCTTTTCTTCACGTGCCTCCCGCTGAAGGCAGGATCCAGCCCCCCGCCATCATCACTCAGCATGTTACCATCTGACCGCTTGAACTGAACTCTGGCCCTGCCTGGTCCCCTCATGGCCGTTAGCTCCTTGAAGCCGGGGGCTGTGCCCTGTTCTCATCTTTGTACTGGGGAAATTCCATGATGAGGGACACAGCACAGTGCCTCGTCCTCTCGGGGCTCGCAGCCGCTGGGCCAGACAGATGTGACAGTAACTGCAACACCCGGGCGGCGCAGGGCCTGCGCTGGGCCAGCACCAGCTTGGGCTCCGCTGAGCGAAAACGGAGTGTGCTCCACAGAACCTGGCAAGGTCCTCGCTGGGCCCAAGGCAGAGAAAAGTGTCAACCAGGTGCTATCAAACATTCACAGCCAAACCAATGTCCCGTGGCAGGACAGGGTCCTTACTAGGGACAGACACCCCCATCAAGGCACAAAGGGTAAAGGGTCGCACACCAGAGCTACACTAAGAATTCAGATGTTGTCGTCACTTCCCATGAGGCCCATGAAAGTCAGGGAGAAATAAGTAGTCAAATGAGGAAAGACACATTTATGTTAGAGATCTTCACCATCTCATGATTTAAAAAGCTGAATCATGTATGACAATAAACCCCCACGAAGCTGCCACCACTGCTAGGGTGACAGACTGAGGACCCTTTCCCAGGTTCCACGGCGCACACACTGGTGAGAACTCCCAATACATGGTTTGTAAAAAACAGGGACCGTCCAGAAGACTTCTTGATACACGTCAGTAAACAGACAGTGAATTACTGGGAATCCACTTTAAAAAAGGAAGCTATTAAATCAATTCTCAAAAAGGCAGATTTGAGATCAAGAACCAAGCTTCAAAACCCCAACTATTTTTGTTACAGAGATAAGAAATAAATTATTTACTCTTTGCTGTGAATGGCAAGCAGTGATTAGAATTCAGAAAAATATTCTCTCTAGAATTAAAATAAACAGTGAATTACTGGGAATCCACTTTAAAAAAGGAAGCTATTAAATCAATTCTCAAAAAGGCAGATTTGAGATCAAGAACCAAGCTTCAAAACCCCAACTATTTTTGTTACAGAGATAAGAAATAAATTATTTACTCTTTGCTGTGAATGGCAAGCAGTGATTAGAATTCAGAAAAATATTCTCTCTAGAATTAAAACAAGTTCGAAGCCCTGATTTCTAGCCCTGAGATTGGTCATGAAGTATTTTCCGTTTGCACACAGACAGGTCTGTTGGGGTTGAGTCACAGATGGTGTAGACACAGAGATGAGGAGTCAGGACAGTGATCGGACCAGGGTGCGGGCCCCCAGTGAGTGCACGGTCCTGGCCACCAAGACATTTGTAAAGAGCAGGGAACAGAAATGTGATGTCAAAAAGCTCAGAGAGTTCAGAAAAATCCATATTTCAGAAGGAAAACCTGTTACAGCTCCAAGGTGAAACCGCTTGGTAACATAATCACCTGCATTCCCCCTTCGTAATGCTCAAGTTTATGCAACTTCCCATGCGGTTATTTCTATATCCCAGCTAAAACCAATTAGATCAGACACTCCGATCTGTACATATGTTATATGTTTCCAGGGTGCTGGTTTCCAATATGTTGACAGTTAGGTTAGGGTCAGGGTTAGGTTCTGACAGTCCAGCCGGGACTGACTGCCCTTTGCACTTACACCTGCCCAGATTTATGGTTTTCCTGTGCTTTAAAAGAAATGTCAGTATTTTAACCTGACTTTCAACATAAATTCCATTCTTTTTTTAAATGTATTTTTATTGATTTCAGAGATACTTTCAACATAAATTCCATTCTTTAATGTATTTTTATTGATTTCAGAGAGGGAGCGAGAGGGAGTGAGAGAAAGAAACATCAGTGAGAAGAATCATTGATCGGCTGCCTCCTGCATGCCCCCTACTGGGGACCAAGTCTGCAACCAGGACATGTGCCCTTGGCCAGAACTGAACCTGAGACCCTTGAGTCTGCAGGCCGACGCTCTATCCAGAGCCAAACTGGCTAGGGCATAAATTCCATTCTTTAAAGTAGATACCCATAGCTATCTACCTACGTTAAGTGTGAGAAGAATCATTGATTGGCTGCTTCTTGCATGCCCCCTACTGGGGACCAAGTCTGCAACCAGGACATGTGCCCTTGGCCAGAATTGAACCTGAGACCCTTGAGTCTGCAGGCCGACGCTCTATCCAGAGCCAAACTGGCTAGGGCATAAATTCCATTCTTTAAAGTAGATACCCATAGCTATCTACCTACGTTAAGTGCTACACAGTTCCACAGTAATCTGAAAATAGCACTCGATGCAGAAGCATGGGGTATGTACTGGCAGCATAAGGCCGGCTACTGGTGTTAGGCAGAATCAGGATTCACTTAAGAATGTCACTTAGTTTTCCTACGGCTCAAGTTTCTTGACTGTAGTTTTAGCAAAGGGAATACAAATCAATATGTGATTCCATAGGTAAATAGAATGTATTGCTTTCTATTAAATGTGAGAGATTTAAAAACTACACACCAACTTGTATGTGATTCTATAGGTAAATAGAATGTAACTTTGTATTCATGTATTGCTTTTTATTAAATGTGAGAGATTTAAAAACTACACACCAACTTGGATAATAATTACTTATGTGCCCCTCTCATCAGAGGGAATAGATGACTTATCATTTAGTTCATCTTACTGAACCTACTAGGATTTTGGGGATAAGCTGAGCAGCTCTCCTCATAAAGGAAAATCTTACTTTTTCTTTTCTGGGCAGTTGAAGAAAGCCTGAGAATTCTCAACATGGCAAAGACCCACACAAACGCTTTTCAGGAAGCGCAGGCCCCGTGATGACCGCCAAGCCCTGTGATGACTGACAGGGGAAAGTCTGCAGAGACAGTGCTCCAGTCACCCAGACCCGCAGACGGAAAACCAGAGACCACAACTCCAGCCCCAGAGCCTGGCACCCTGGGAGTCAGCCCAAGAGTCAGTGCTACGTAGGATACAGCTGGCCACACTGGAAGGTAGGGCACCTGTGCCCACCAACAGAGCGCAAGGGCCCTCCTGGCTCAGAGCAGGTGCTCACATGGTACAAGTCAGGCAATTTTTTAAGGACAAAAGGCTCAGCCTACAGACACCTAATTTTAGGAAAGAGGACATCAACTTTATACTTAATCTATTCCAAATCTAATTTCTTTTAGAATTTGATACTAAAGAGAAGGAAATATAGTTTGAGTTACAGCATCTATGATATTTGCAAGAGAAAGCAAATTACAATCTTGGTCCAAAATAAAGGCTGTATCCTGGTTTTCTTTTTACCACAGTATATTCATCAATTTCATATCTTATTTTAAAAGCAGAAGAAAACGTGTCAATCCTGTGGTAAAAACTTTTTTGGGCAAATGAAGTACTTATACAAAAGTTGGAAAGTATTTTTCTTTTATGGATATTTTCATAAACAATGTTAGTGAATGTGATTCCCCTCCTTCCCATGACGAAGCCACAGGCCTAACTTATAAAAACATTCAGTCACACCCTAGACGGTTTCAAGAAACGTTACTCTCTTTTGTAGTACCTGGGGGTTTGCTTTGGCTAGATTTTCTATTTTAACCCATGCTTCTTCTCGTTCTTTCATTTTTAGCTTCTCTCTGAAAAACAGTAAAATGTAATTAGAGAAATGAATTACATTCAAGAAACAGTTAAAGGGGAAAACACTGAGTGGGCAGTGACATAGTCCTGTCTCATTCACAGTGGAGATTACAATACGTGGGACATAAAAAAATGCAAAAACAACAAGACTTAGAGGAAAAAGATAAAAGTAAATGCTAAAACTTCAACATGTCCACTGACAATGAGTCAGCATGACCTTCAGTCAATCACTGAACTCAACTTTTCTGAAAATCCAGAAAATGTGCAACAAGATCTTTAGGTTCCCTTTCAGAAACTGTGATAGTCTATGGGAGAAGGTGTGCCATCAGAAAAGCCCGATGTTTATATATTTCACATCTGAACACTGCGTTCAGCTGAGCTAAGAAGGGACCTGAAGGGTAAAGAAAGCCCCCTGTGCCCTGCCCTGCTGTTTACTATCGTCTCACACTTCCATGTCGCACGTGTTTACACTTGGCTGTCTTTCTCTTTCCACACTGCCCCAAACATAAATCCCACAAAGACAAGGGTCTTGTTTGCTTTACTCACTGCTGTGTTGCCAGAACCTAAGACAGGGCCTGGCATACAGGTAAACACTTCCATGCTGTATATAGAACAAACGTGACCACTGGCTATATAGACTGCATGTGAATTACATTCAGTCAAGTTTATCTGCCTGAGCCAGTTTTAAGTGACAAGCCAAGAATAAACTCTGCTAACAGTTCATACTGGACTCTGAAGTGGGGGTATAACTAGTTAACCACTGAGACAGTCTTTGTCACTGGACTGTCTCTGGGCAGTGAGCGCAGGGCCCTGGTTCTGCGGGCACAGGTGAGACTCCAGAAAATGCCTACAGCACCGATGTTACCACATTAGAACAAAGTCCTGTGGAGATGAAGATTCTTGCTCTCTCATACAAACCTTACAAAACGTAATTCAAATGCCTGCCTTATAAACACGAAAAATTACTACACATTATAGCCGGTAAGGGTCCCTGAGAAAAGCAAAAATTCTGAAAGTTAAATGATTAAACTAGTAGAATGGAGGAAATAGCTAACTTTAAATGTGTTCTCTGAAAATAAGTTATCATAACAAAGTTTTTATTTGCTTTCCAAGTATGAAAGGATTGACTTTGCTTTAAAGTGAAAGATAACATGCTAGGACAAACTAATGGGAGATGTTTATTGAGGGTTAAGGAGAAAAATCCTTGAAAGAGTAACTTTTGAAAAGCGCCACTTACTTCAGTTTCTCTGCTTTAAACTGTTGGGTGCAGTCATCGAATAGTTTTTGGTTCATTTCCATGAAGAGTTTCAGTGCGTTGTATATCAAGCCATGTATTGTCCTATATGTAAAACTCATGTTGAAACTCAGAATACATGATCTTTTTTACCCTCTCCCTCCCCCTGGGATACAATCAATTTTCATCCAAACTTATCAGGCTATTTCAATATTCATTTCACAAGTTTCCTGCACTTTAAAGTAAAGAAGTTGCTGCTTTTGATTCATTTGTTCCTTTTCTTTAAAAAAATATTTTTTAAATTGATTTCAGAGAGAGGAAGGGAGAGAAAGAGTGGGATAGAAACATCAATGATGAGAATCATTGATCAGCTGCCTCATGCATGCGCTCTACTAGGGATTGAGCCCACAACCGGACATGTGCCCTGAACTGTGACCTCCTGGTTCATGGGTTGACCCTCAACCACTGAGCCACACTAGCCAGACCATTTGTTCCTTTTCTTACAGTCCACCATGCAGCCTGTAACATCCTTCGGGAACCAAAAGCCACCTTACTCGCAAGCTGAATAAAAATGTTGAAACTTGAGGGGCAGACTCAGTGAGCACCAAAGCCCCATTGAAGCAAGTCTTGCCCCAGAGGGGTGTCTCCAGCACAGAAGTTCTCCCACTGCAGACACAGCTGATTCTCTCAGCCAATTGGCCTGGAGGTCAATTCCTCCCAGTGATAACTACAACAATCAAGGCTTAATTACAACAAGACTGTGCACAAAGCCCACAAGGGGGTGCACCAAGAGTGTCTACCTCAGGTAATTGGGACACTTAGCACAGAAAGGCACCCTATCGACACAGTGAAGCATAAAAAATGCCGAGACAAAGAAACAGGACACAAACGACAGAATTGGAGGAAAGCAAACTGCTGGATATAGAGTTCAAAACCACACTTTTAAGGTCTTTAAAGAACTGTCTAGAAGCCGCCGATAAATCTAGTGAGATCCTCAAGAAATCTAGTGAGACCCTCGATGTTGTGATAAAGAACCAACTAGAAATTAAGCATACACTGACTGAAATAAAGAATATTATACAGACTCCCAACAGCAGACCAGAGGATCGCAAGAATCAAGTCAAAGATTTGAAATACGAAGAAGCAAAAAACACCCAACCGGAAAAGCAAAATGAAAAAAGAATCCAAAAATACGAAGATAGTGTAAGGAGCCTCTGGGACAACTTCAAGCGTACCAACATCAGAATTATAGGGGTACCAGAAGAAGAGAGAGGGCAAGATATTGAAAACCTATTTGAAGAAATAATGACAGAAAACTTCCCCTACCTGGTGAAAGAAATAGACTTCCAAGTCCAGGAAGCGCAGAGAACCCCAAACAAAAGGAATCCAAAGAGGACCACACCAAGACACATCATAATTAAAATGCCAAGAGCAAAAGACAAAGAGAGAATCCTAAAAGCAGCAAGAGAAAGAAAATCAGTTACCTACAAGGGAGTACCCATACGACTGTCAGCTGATTTCTCAACAGAAACTTTGCAGGCCAGAAGGGAGTGGCAAGAAATATTCAAAGTGATGAATACCAAGAACCTACAACCAAGACTACTTTATCCAGCAAAGCTATCATTCAGAATTGAAGGTCAGATAAAGAGCTTCACAGATAAGAAAAAGCTAAAGGAGTTCATCACCACCAAACCAGTATTATACGAAATGCTGAAAGGTATCCTTTAAGAAGAGGAAGAAGAAGAAAAAGGTAAAGATACAAATTATGAACAACAAATACACATCTATCAACAAGTGAATCTAAAAATCAAGTGAATAAATAATCTGATGAACAGTATGAACTGGTGATTATAATAGAATCAGGGACATAGAAAGGGAATGGACTGACTATTCTTGAGGGGGGAAAGGGATGTGGGGGTGAGTGAAGAGATTAGACAACAATCGTGCACCTATGGATGAGGACAGTGGGGGGGG